CGCCCAGAGTCCTGCAGGATTGGGCGGCATACAAATTTATTAAATTTCAAATTTCAAGGTCAGAGGCATGCAAGACTAGTGCAACAGGGTCAGATCCCTGGTTCAACCCAGCATTGTCATCTCTTTCAACTCTGACAGAGAGATGTCAAAGCAGATATTGTCCAAACTGGTAAATCAGTCCGTCCACGCCCAAGGATGAACAATAGCAACAGCCACGCAAGGCAGATTCAGGAACCATCGTTTGAAGTAAAGCGATGAACTGACAGCTGAAATGAAGGTGTTGCTGTCCACTTCTGGAAGATACTATCAATGGGATGGCTGCAAAGCAAAGGGTTAAAAGCAGACCCAAAGAATCCTGCCCTTTGAAAACTTTTTGTTATAAATTATGCGAGGGCAGGACCTCTCTGGAATCAGTTTCCCAGATCTGGAAGAGAAGCCGTTGAAATTGTTTTAAATAACCACAGGGGTGTTCTAAATGGACTTTGTGGTACTTTTAGGGTATTATCTAGGAAATAAATCTGGATGTTTGATAAAACTATGTATTATTTGTCTTACCAGCTAATTTGGGCAGTTCTGGTGGGACAGCACTCAAAATCCTGGCCACAGAAGCTACACTGAGTAAATTTGGTAAGCTTTATCTTGCAATTTAATCTCGCATAACTTAAGGAACATTGGGGGCTCTCAAAATGCGGTGTTCAAAATAGCATAATGAGTATGCAGGCTTCCCACTAAATCAACACTTATCTTATAACTCAAAGCCTTAAACAATAATTTAAACAATCAACAGGGCCTGCTGGAATATGCAAATTTCCCTGAGAGGATTGGGCTGGTGGAACAATACAAGAGAACATCTGGTCAGCTGTAGTGTATTTTTATTTCAGCGGTTAAAATAAAACTCAGCTGCATGAGTCTAACACACCACCCAATTAATTTTTTTTATAAAGTTTAACGCTACTTAATTAGCATAGGAAAAATATCAATTTACATGCTTGCAACTGTTTTGTTTGTAATATTCATTGTGATCAGAGGTGGGGGGGGAAGGGAAGCACATAATGCTGGGGCTGGGGAATTCTGGGACTTGAAGTCCACAAGTATTAAAGTTGCCAAGGTTGGACATCCCTGGTTTACACCATACCATATGTTGCCCCCAGAAAACAGGAAAGGGCACTTGTGAATATACAGAGACACTCCTCCTCTAAGGTGGTCTGATTTTCTTTGATTTAGAATGGTACTCAAGAATTTGTTTTCCAATTTAAATTGTTTTGCCAATCACTTTCTGCTTGTTTCCCTTCTGATTTTTAGCTCGGCTTCACACACATTTTAGCTGCTTTAATCCTTGAACCGTATCGTTAGTGGAAAGCTATGTAGTTTGATCCTAAATTAAAATACATTTACATAGGATGAAATATCATTGTACAATGGGATCAAGGATGCTTTCAGGGATGTGTATTTGGGGCTGATCTCAGCTGATAAAATTGGGCAGGGCTGAAGCCTCCTCATCCATACTCCTTTAACTATGACTCTACCCTTGATTACCCTGAAACGACAGGATATAACCTCCCTCTAAAGATCATCTCAACATAAAGGGTGATACAACACATCAACATTTAGTAACACCAGTCTAGGGAGGAAGTAGTTCACAACTTGTGATCTTGATTAGTCCTACCTAGGACACCCAAAAGAAAACAATATATGGAAGACTACAATGTGTGTTTTAGCCGTGAGAAGCTAGCATAATATTGATCTAACGTTCCTGCAATACCTGTAACTCATTTAAAAACAAACATTTAATCATCCCTAAATAATGTTGGCTTGAAAAACTCTAATATCTGCCCCTTATTTGGCTTCTGAAGAGTTTGGCCTGAGTGCCCCCCCCCCCCAAAGATCATATAATTCCATCCTGTTTGATTAATACAAGCCCACCAATTATGAGATTTTTAAAAGGGCATCTCTTTGTCACAAGCATCTCACAAATTCACATGAATCATGCTTTGGGCTACATAACTTGACAGTGTGACTCCTTATTCTGGCAATTGGCTCTGTTGCCATTCTACCTGTTTGCGCCAATAGACAGGTAAATGACTCAATCCTCCATTCATAGGCCTTGGAAGAGACCCAACAAATCCAAAGAACTTCCTAAGTAAGTAAACATACATGGATTGTTTTTCCAAAACGACCTAATATGAATTTATTTGATGAGAACTAAGTTAGATGTAAATTCCCCTTTATTTTTGGTTTTAGGGATTACACTCATGTTTATTTTGTATCCGTTCACACTGCACTAATCCTTAAGTTGTGATCTACTAACTAACCACTGGGTTCAGACAACACAGCACAGGAATCCTGAATCAAGGATTATCTTTTTTTTCATCCTGTTTTGACCTAAAACGCTTTACTAATGCCTCAGCACTACCTGATATATGGCAAAACCCTGTCTGTGGGGATAAATGCTACCTTTCTTTGGCCTTTGCTTAAAGCCGAAACAATATACACAGTTCTTTGTATATATTTCAAAGATAAATTCAATACAAAAATAAATAAGCACTAAATAACCTTGCTTCCTCTGTCCTTGATTTCCTCTACAATCAATCAATAAATCAAGCTTGGTTATTATGACAAATACTTCCCAAGAGTCTCTGGTTTAGATCAGTTCTTTGGGGATACAAAAAAAAAACCCCAACCCTCCCATAAACCATGATTCTCTTTTACTGCAATCCAGCCATTTTCCATTCCAGGATAATTCCCAAAATATAGGAACCAAGATATTTTCAATTAGTGTTCATTACTTTAACATAGCCGAGGTGGCTGTGAAACACTTGTATTAATTACTGAACATATCACGTAGTTTAATGAAGCTCCTCACTTCCAGTTTAATCAGAGAGAAATGTTTAAATTGCCTCGGGATACATTTTTCCCTACCGTTTGTGCTTTGGGAGCGAAGGGGAAATGTGAGTGAACCCCAAAATTAATGGAAAATATATTGCTTTCCCCTAGAGACATTTTAGGGGACATGATGACGTGCTTTTTCAAACCAAGTACTAGAGGGTAATTCCTAAGGTGCTTTTCCAAGAGGCTGAAGAAGCTTCTTGGATGAGAAGCGAAACCTCTTCAAAGAAAAACCAGAAAGTCCAGTTGCCTCTTGAAAAAAAGCACCTTTAGGACCTGGATGGCTGAGAATCTCCACAGACAACTAGAGTGTAACATCACTGAGTCAATTTTGTTGACACCAAGCGCATTCATCCTACTCGTCTAACCTCATGCCAATGGAGCAATTAGCACTGCCAACAGCCAACCACACAGGGCTTGGTCCCATTCATCCTGTGTCCTTCCTCCTCACCGCTGACCTGCTTCCAGGATACCGACGGGTGATTTCCTGTCGTTTCCAAATTGTTTTGTTCGGCATTCCTCCGCACAAAGCAGCCAAACGGGCTCTGCTATCTGGGGAGGCAGCTTGCCGGGTGCAGCCTTCAGAACGAAGGCGCCGTGGATTTCTTCCAAGCACTTTTGCAGGTGTCTCCGCAAGGACTGAACGGCTCACTTTAGCATCTCCCTCAACCTGCGTTTTGTAACTTTGCCGTATCCCACCAGTGCAGCAAATGTGCACTGCCAGCCCTGAAGGAGCAGCTATTTGAACCACGCTGCTCATTTTAACCCAGTTTATTCCGACCGGAGACTTGAGCAAGGAGGAGCCTCAGCCTCTGTGGAACCCCAGCCTGGTTTAAAGCCCAAACTGCCCACCTTTACCTGGCGCGCCAGACTTGATGGGGACCCAAACTGGGTCAAACTCCTTGCAGCCTTCTCTTCACCCTTCCCAAAAGGAATCACGGGTCGTTTTCTTGGCAAGCCTCCCACCCTCCGCAGGTTCTTCTGCAGAACCAGAGGGGGAGCTGCCCGGAGCCTGGCATAAAATGTGCGGTTATAGAAACGCTCTGAACAAAAGAGAAACACGCTCAAAGGTTGCCGTGGTCCTGAGGCTTTGTGAAACTGACAGCTAGCTGGAGGGGTCATCAGCCCCACATTCTTTTATCTGCGCCAACCATCATGATGGCTACCACCAGAACGGCTGGTCCTGCCCCACACCCGTCTTCTAAATGGTGGCCTGTCCATCAACTGGATTCACACAACCTCCTAAATCACAATCCAATAAAAACACACAGCAGCCTGGCGTGATACATGAAATGAGCTAGAGACCCAGACAACTGGGAGCCCCAGAAAGGGAGATTCAGACCCGGCCTCTGTCGAGGGGACACCTAGCTGGGGAAAGCTGAATTAGATGCTTCTTAATGCTTGTGGTGTGTTGTGGCTTTTCTCAAACCACAAAATTTTTAATTAATGCAATTGCCTAAAACTTAAGGCTGTGATTCAAACCCTGCACACCAGCGCCCTCTCCTGGCCAAAAGGGGGAAAAAAAACCCACCACACCATTTATTTACAAAGCATATGTGCCAGTTGAACATGGACCCAAGAATACGCAGGTGGTCCAAGGCTAGGCTCAGGTCTTCAGCACAGCGATAGCTTTGCCCCACTGGCACTGAAGGCCACGCAGGCCAGTAGCTGGCGGAGCCTAGGGACGAGCTATGAAGCAGGCACCTGCAGTTTCTTCCCATTAACTGAGTAGATGCAACATTTGGCTTGAAACAGAGTAGAAGGAACCTCCACGCAGAGTGATGGCAAATTCTCATCCCATCTCTGCAAGATTGACAGGAGAAAATCTGCAAATGTCCCATTGCGTCCAGACCGAAATCACTACTCAGCTGAGGACACAGATAGACACCCCCCCCCGCCCCCAAGTGGCCTTAAGGATTCCCTAAAGAGGACGCAAATGACCAGCTGTCTGCGAGGAGTATCAACCCTTCTGTTCCCATCTCAAGAAAGGAAGCTACGGATCAGACGCAGAACTTTGGCAAATGCCCCCGCTCGTTTTCAGCCATCGAAGGTCCTGCCTGCACGCAGACAAACCAACATACAACACTAGAAAATAAAACCAGCAGAGCTCTTAGTACTTTTTTTCCTCCCAAAACTTTTACTGCGGAATTTCCAGACTATTTAGAAGACCAATTTGTGAGGATAAACTCCATTGGAGAGTGAAAAGGTCGAACGCAGGTAGCCCCGGAGCTGAGGAACCTTCTTGATGACGGGCAGAAGCTGAGAGTCCACAGTCTTCTGGTCTGCCTTGCGCTGATCCGCAATCTCGTATTTCTGGAAAAAAAACCCAGATATGCTACTTCAGGCATTTATTCCTTTCCCCACGTTCTGTCGTAGTCGGGCCAGCGGTTCCTTCCCCGTTGCCATTTCTCTTTTGTTATAATATACTTTTTATTTTCCATTTTCATAACATACAATCACATGTATACTATTACATAGCCATTTCTTAACAGCAAACCTTGCCAACATTATTTTCCAAAGTGGATCTATTTTGCTCTCCTAACACCCTCTTGGAAGAGGCCCTTTGGACTGTGACTCTTATCACCTACACATCATTTCGCAGATTCTGACGGAAACGTCAGGAAAAAGGTCAAGACAGGTATGATGCCATTCAAGACTGGACTACTGCAATGCGCTCTACATGGGGCAGCCCTTGAAGAGCATTCGGAGACTTCAGCTCGTCCAGAATGCAGCCGCGCGAGCGATTGTGCACCTCGGTACACCCACGTTACACCTATCCTCCGCGAGCTGCACTGGCTACTGATCGGTCTCCAGATACGCTTCAAAGTGCTAGTTGTCCAGTCTT